AATACACACCATGCAACTCTTGGTTGGATGAGCAATTGCACATATCCCACACTTATACAAGAAGGCATTAAATACCTTCTTGCATGAGCAGTTCTTTCTGTTCATCTGGGCAGAATAATGAATTGTCTTACATGCTGATTGGGCACCTTGGCCCATTTCCTGCTCCAGGAGCCAGGACAGACACTGATTAGTCTATAGGGGCACCTGAAGTTCCCAGCCTACTCTGCTGATGCTGAGAATATGCTGGCCAACTGGCATCGCAAGCCTGCATCAGCTGAGATGCTGTATAAATACATCAGCAATATGCTGTGAGTTTTTTTTCCTCTCTAGAAACTTTACATTTGGCCTTTGATTTATTTGCCAAGCTGCAATTTTAATCTCATTTATCTACCCTGTTTCCCCAAAAATAAGACCTAACCTGAAAATAAGCCCTAGTATGATTTTTCACGATGCTCATAATATAAGCCCAAAATAAGACCCAGTGAAGTGAAACCTTGCCCTCCACCACTGTGCAGCAACCTGAAGAAAATGACATGACTGTATTTGAATAAATGTGGATTGTTGTACATGGAAAAAAAATCACCTGAAAATAAGCCCTACCGGTTTTTGTTTTTCTTTTTGAGCAAAAATTAGACCCTGTCTAATTTTGGGGGAAACACAGTATGTGCCCCAACAACACTTCTAATCTTTTTTAAAGGCATCCTTCGATCTCGAGAGACTATGGCAACGTGTTTAGCCAGCTCAACATCTCGGGAGAGAGTGTCAGAGATCGTTGAGCCAAAGTACACAAAGTCATGAACAACCTCCAATTCTTGTATGGATATGGTAATAGAAGGAGGTGAGTCCACGCCCTGGCCCATGACTTGTGTTTTCTTCAGGCTGATTGTTAATCCAAAGTCTTGGCAGGCCTTGCTAAAGCGATTCATGAGTTGTTGGAGGTCTTCAGCAGAGTTGGCAACAACAGCTGCATCATCGGCAAAGAGGAAGTCCCGCACGCATTCCAGCTGGACTTTAGTCTTTGCTCTCGATCTAGAAAGATTAAAGAGCTTTCCATCTGATCTAGTCCGGAGATAGACACTTTCTGTTGCAGTTCCAGAGTCGTGCTTCAGCATGACAACAAAAAAGATCCTAAATAGGGTCGGCACAAGGACACAGCCCTGTTTCACTCTGCTTTGGATTTCAAAGGGGTCTGATGTTGAGCCATCAAAAACTACAGTGCCCTTCATTTCCTCATGAAAGGACCTGATGATGTTAAGGAGTAGAGGTGGACATCCAATCTTGGGAAGTATTTTTAAAAAGCTGTCCCTTTGTGAGATCTATGAAGGCCACAAAGAATGGCTGTTGTTGTTCCCTACATTTCTCCTGCAGCTATCAGAGGGAGAATACCATGACAGTGGTGGATCTATTAGCTTGGAATCCACACTGTGATTATGGATAGACTCTGTCTGCAAGCACCTGGAGTCTCTCCAGCACAACACAGGCATGCAGCTTCTCTACAATGCTGAGAAGAGAGATGCCATGGCAATTATTGCAGTCGCCCCTGTCATCTTTGTTCTTATACAATGTGACAATGTTTGCATCCTTCATGTCCTGTGGTACTCCACCTTCCCTCCAGCAAAGACAAAAGATTTCATACAGCTCAGCGGTGATGATCTCTTTACAGCACTTCAGCAGGGATGTTATCCTTCCCAGGTGCCTTGCTGGAGGTGAGGGAATCCAAGGCCACTTTTATTTCTGCTAAACTTGGTTCGCTGTCCAACTCTTCCAAGTCAGGCAGGCACTCAATGTTATTTAGTGCCTCTCTGGAATATAGATCAGAGTAGTGCTGCACCCAGCGTTCCATCTGCTGTGCTCGGTCCTGGATGATCATGCCTGTAGCAGACTTCAAGGGAGCAGATTTCTTCTGTTTTGGACCTAAAGCCTGCTTGATACCGTCATACATTCCCTTGATGTTACCTGTGTCCACTGCTATCTGTATCTGAGAGCAGAGCTGAAGCCAATAATTGTTGGAACATCTCCTCTTGAAGGCTGCAAGTTGTATTTACTGGGACAGGCTTTGTATGCTGCTAGAGCTTTCCTCTTATCCTCAATAGCTGGCATCAACTCCTCCAAATGGGCTTTGAACCAGTCTGCCATCTTTTTGGTCTTCTTGCCAATTGGGGACAAGGCAGTGTTATAACCAATGTTCTTGAAATGTTTTCATCATTCAGGTGCATTTGCTTCAGCTGGGGCTGGAAGGGTTTCCTCAAGCACTTGGGCAAATTCCTCCACTTTTCTTTGATCATAAGTCTTGCTGATGTCAATACGTGGTCTTCCTTCCTTGTTCATGTGATACAACCAATTTGCTTGCAGTTTTGCTCTACTACACGCCAGGGAGTGATCAGTATCACAATCAGCACTCTGGCGTGTGAACATAATACTAAGAAGGTGTAGCGTTCCCCTTTATTATGTCAGTGGTTCATGTTAATTGTTCATGCATATTCATGTTGCTGAGAGGCAGAGCCGAGAGAGATGTGATAAGAGGCGGAGCCTGAGATAGGGTCAGTCAGAGAGAGTATGAGTAGAGTGGGAGAATGGAGAAGAAGAGAGAGTGTGGAGTTTGGGGCAGCAGTGTGGAGTTGCTGGTGGCAGCAGTGTACAAGAGGAGATTGTTTGCCTTCGAGTGCTCTGAGTCTTGATGGTCAAGAAAGGGGGCATGAAGGGTGAACGCGACAGAGGGCTAGAACGTCTACTGAGGATCAAATCGAGCTGATGCCAATGCTTCAATCTTGGATGTCCCCAGGAAACTCTGTGTTGAAGCTTCGTATTAAAGAATGTATTGCTGACACAGCAAAACTCCAGCAAGCTATTATTAGCACCATTTATTAAAGCCCATTGTTGACTGGCATCCCCTCTCTCATTTGCTCAGGGGTAGAGATGTGCAACAGTTAGAACTGGATATGGAACAGCTGATTGGTTCACAATTGGGAAAGGAGTACGGCAAGGCTGTATATTGTCTCTCTGCTTATTTAACATATATGCAGAATACATCATGTGAAAGGGTGGACTGGAGGAGTCCCAAACTAGAATTAAGATATACAGATGATACCACTCTGATGGCAGAAAGTGAGGAGGAATTAAAGAACCTCTTAATAAGGGTGAATGAAGTGAGTGCAAAAAATGGTCTGAAGCTCAACATCAAAAAAACTAAGATCATGGCCATTGGTCCCATCACCTCCTGGCCAATACAAGGGGAAGATATGGACGCAGTGACATATTTTACTTTCTTGGGCTCCATGATCACTGCAGATGGTGACAGCAGTCACAAAATTAAAAGACACCTGTTTCTTGGGAGGAAAGCGATGACAAACCTAGACAACATCTTAGAAAGCAGAGACATCACCTTTCCAACAAAGGTCCGCATAGTCAAAGTTATGGTTTTTCCTGTAGCAATGTATGGAAGTGAGAGCTGGACCATAAAGAAGGCTGACTGCTGAAGAATTGATGCCTTTGAATTGTGGTGCTGGAGGAGAGTCTTGAGAGTCCCCTGGACTGCAAGGAGATCAAACCTATCCATTCTGAATGAAATAAATTCTGAGTGCTCACTGAAAGGACAGATCCTGAAGCTGAGGATCCAATACTTTGGCCATCTCATGAGAAGGGAAGACTCCCTGGAAAAGACCCTGATGTTGGGAAAGAGTGAAGGCAAGAGGAGAAGGGGATGACAGAGGTTGAGATGGTTGGACAGTGTCATCGAAGCTACCAACATGAATGTGACCAAACTCTGGGAGGCAGTGGGAGACAGGAGGGCCTGGTGTACTCTGGTCCATGGGATCACGAAGAGTTGGACATGACTTAACGACTAAACAACAACAAGAGATGTGCATGAACTGAGAAAATGGCAGTTCATGATGGTTTGTGGTTCATCATTATCCACAAACCATGAACCTTATGATGAAATGAACCATTTCATGGTTTGGGCTATTCAAGACCTCCAGGGGGCAGTAGAATGGCTCTCAAGCAAGTTAGAGAGGCCAAACATGGAGCAATCTCCAGCTGATGTTCCTCCCCACCCCCTCCCAGTTTGGCAAAGATTGCATTTGGGATGTCTGAGTTCTACCCCCCCCCCCAAAGTGCTCTTTAGCAGCTGGCTTGGGGACAATTTAATGAGTGGTTCATGCAAGGGAACTTGAGACAGGATGTTGATCATTATGAGATGGACTGGAGAGGGAACAGAAAGAGGCAGATGTGGGGAAAGGATGGAAAGGACGAACAGACTAGCTAGCTAAGTATCTTCTTCTCACATGGGCTGCTGCAAAAGTGAAAGCCCCAGCTGAGGTGCTCAGGTTATGGCTCCCATTACCAGCTATAACCAGAGAGTGGACTTGGAGCACCGTGCTTGTCTGCCTGACCTGACAATCAATCCTACATATAGTTTTCTCTAGGTACACAGCCCAGTACGTATTGCCTGATACAGTGCTGCCAGGCTGTCTGGCCAGGGGCAATACACCCCAAAACAAAGCGTACAAATTCCCCACACCAATAATAGTTCAGTGTTTCATTTCATTCTGGGCAGGCATGTTTCCCCAAAGCACCCTGAAACAAACCTCATAATGGCCTGATTCATGAGGGTCTTTTTTTGTTTTGTTTGTTTGTTTGTTTGTTTGTTCCATGCTTCGTGGTTTGTTTCATGCCCTTCTCTTTTCAGGTGTCATTACAACAGCTCTTGTGGAACATTAATTTCATAGGACTCCTCCTCACCTAGAACTGATAATTAGAAAAATTACTACTGACCTTGTTTGCTTTTCTCATCTTCCCTCCCCATTTTTTCTTCTTTTTCAGACTGTAAGGGAAGTCTTCTAACTGTTGCATGTGAGCTATTTGGGAAGTCTTTTCCTTTGAAAAACAGGCTCAGACATACAAACAAACCTTATATTACCTCATCCTTTATCCTCTTCAGCTTATTCCTGCTCAGCCATTTTTGCTCATTTCTGCAAGGTTCATCCAAAGGTTTCACTTACCGATAAAACATAGTGTAGTCTACAGTTGAGTGGCAAGTCTGAAAATCCCATGCTTTGAGTTTCTGGCATTCCCGATGGGCACGAAGTTTTATCCTCACTGTTCCTTGGCACAGCTCAGGAAACTGTTTCTTTGGAGGACGCGTACAGAATTCATTTGATTCCATTCGCCAGGATTCTGCAAAGTCATCCACATCAAACTTAAAATGTCCATCACCTCCAATTAAGTCATCTCTCTTGTGTCCATTGTAGTTGCCACACAGACCACATAGCTTGCCCTTAAGATGTGGTGCAGCCATGACTTCAACAAAACTGTCTCCATCCCAAGAAATTTCCAGTCCTAGTAAAGAAGACAAGAAGAGGAGCTCAATTTCAGCAGTGAATACATGATGCTATTTCACATGTTGAGTCAGACCACTGGTTTGTCTATCCTACTGCTGGCAGCTGCTGTTGGCAGCAGATCTCCAGGTTCAGGGGAGAAAGGCCTTTCAAATTTTAAAGGTTAGCTCTTTTTGACTAGAAATGACAGGGCCGGAACCTGGGACTTAATGCCTGCACAGTATTTGCTCTACAGCTGAATCGTTGCTTTTTTAAAGCCTAGAAAGCTACTTGGTAAAAGTAAGTATTAATTTTGATTCCAAAGTACAGTAGTTCATCTCCACTGTAGATACATTTTTAAAAGGCTAACTCTTAACTTCTGTTCTATCCCATAAGTAACTAAAATAGTTTTTATTTACTTGTTAAACAGCTGAATGTTACAAGCCCTTGGTACCAAACACACTGGCCTTCTCCTTGTCACATCAGCACTCAGGATCATGAGGTGGAAGCAGAAACAAGCACTTAAACTCGGAGATAATTTATCGCCACCATTTAGGAAGGCCTCTGGCACTACACAGGTAGCTAAAAGACTACACTTACACTACACAATGACTTGGGTCCTCCCACATACAGCTGCAGTTGTGATCTAATGTAACAGCTTCATTTATTAGGAAAAAGAATTAATTAAAAACAACTAATTATCTGCAGCTAGTTATTTCCAAGCTCCTATGCACAACAGATGAGACAGGAGGTGAACAAAGAGAAAACAGGTGCTCAAAAGGAGAAAGCATAGTCAAGTGACACCGTTTCTGACTTGCCACCATCAAAGCTGCATATAGTTCAGTGTAGATGGCATTTCCCTACTTAACTTTGTGTAGTGCCACGTGCTGAGGAATCTCATCTTCTGCAGTGTCCTAAATAGTTCCAGGCAGGGCTTTATCTTAGATTGGATATGTCCATGCAGTGTGGCAGTATTGACCATGCTGCTTCACATAGAAAAGGAAAGGTTTCACTTGATAATTCCTGCATGCAAAAAACTCCCTTCAAATAATAGGTATTTGTGCTTTATAAGCACATTGTGGGAAAAGGTCCTGGAGCAAATCCTTGGCTTGTTGTCTTTGACTTCCTATTTACAGAGAGTTTTTAAGATAGGTGAGGACTGCAATGTGTGGTCCCTTATCTACACTTTGAACTAATGCACTTATTTGTAAGACATACTCTCTCATTCTACTGAACCTGGCAACCAGGCTAAACACAGGATGTTGGGTGTGCTGAAAGAATTCAAGGAGTTGTGGTAAAAAGAGCAGGTCATAAAGTTTAGTAAGCAATGGATCGAAACACAAGCAGGCGTGTAGCATTCTTACATCACTGGTGGCCAAGAAAGCTCCTGAAGTTGTTAACAGCTGTCTGTCATTAGCCCCAGGATTTCCATTAGGGGTTTCAAACTATTTCTACTCACACTGGTAGAAATCCAAAAGGTAGTCCCACTACAGTAGACCCAAACTGAACATCTACATGAATGGAAATTCAGACATCATTTGGATGAGTCCCATGAATTCAGGGGTCTACTCTAGTGGGAACTACCAACTGGACTCAGTCCACAGTTTCTAGAGGATGTAAACTGTAAGAGAAAAGTACCAGCTGAAAAGTGTGGCATAACTACTTCACCTCCCATTTAAAGTTGCATTGGTGTTCAAAGTTCTAGTTCGAAATCACACTGAATCATTATTTATCTCAAGCTCTGTTTAACAAAATATTCTATGGAGTTGACTATGGATATTCAATGTAGATAACTGAAATCTTTTTCAAAAATTAGTTAGTTTGAATTGGCCACAGAATTGGCTTTTACACAATATTGTTTCTACATTTGGATTAAAGTTACAGTATATGCATTCAGGAGTGCTTTTAAAATAAATAGCATTAAACCAAGATCCTTTCCTTTGAGTCCCAACACAATGCTATATGTTTCTCTTTCATAGCCTATTATTTTGGATAATAATGAAGTGATTCAACTAGAAGCACTATTACTCAGGATTTCAATAAATGTGGAAGTATTTTTTTCCTAATTGCACTATATAACATACAATTTCTATCTATAGTTCTGTGTAAAAACATTTTCATTTATTTATTTAAATAACAATTAAAATTCCAAAAGTGAAGTTTATTCTATGGAATAAGGCTTAAAATATAGTTCCAGGCAGGTGATTGGATATAAAATATGGGTATAAAATTTTGTGCTTCCTTTTTAAAAAAAAATGAATGTATGCATTCTCCATTCTTTTGGATGGAAATCAATATATCATTCATCATTTAGTCGTGTCTGACTCTTCGTGACCCCATGGACTACAGTACGCCAGGCCCTCCTGTCTTCCACTGCCTCCCGGAGTTGTGTCAAATTCATCTTGGTTGCTTTGATGACACTGTCCAACCATTTCACTCTGTGTTATCCCCTTCTCCTCTTGCCTCCACATTTTCCAACATCAAGGTCTTTTCCAAGGAGTCTTTTCTTCTCATGAGATGGCCAAAGTATTGGAGCCTCAGCTTCAGGATCTGTCCTTCCAGTGAGCACTCAGGGTTGATTTCCTTTAGAATTGATAGGTTTGTTCTCCTTGCAGTCCAGGGGACTCTCAAGGGCCTCTTCCAGCACCACAATTCAAAGGCATCAATTCTTCGGCGGTCAGCTTTCTTTATGGTCCAGCTCTCACTTCCATACATTACTACAGGAAAAACCATAGCTTTGACTATTCGGATTTTGTTGGCAAGGTGATGTCTCACCTTTTTAAGATGCTGTCAAGGTTTGTCATCGTTTTCCTCCCAAGAAGCAGGCGTCTTTTAATTTCGTGGCTGCTGTCTCCATCTGCAGTGATCATGGAACCCAAGAAAGTAAAATCTGTCACTGCCTCCATATCTTCCCCTTGTATTTGCCAGGAGGTGATGGGACCAGTGGCCATGATCTTAGTTTTCTTGATGTTGAGCTTTAGACCATTTTTTTTCATTCTCCTCTTTCACCCTCATTACGAAGTTCTTTAATTCCTCCTCATCTGCATATCAGAGGTTGTTGATATTTCTTCCAACAATCTTAATTCCGGCTAGGGATTCTTCCAGTCCAGCCTTTTGTATGATGTATTCTGCATATTAGTTAAATAAGCAGGGGGACAATATACAGCCTTGTCGTACTCCTTTCCCAATTTCAAACCAATCAGTTGTTCCATATCCAGTTCTAACTGTTGCTTCCTGTCCCACGTATAGGTTTCTCAGGAGATAGATAAGGTGGTCAGGCACTCCCATTTCCTTAAGGACTTGTCATAGTTTGCTGTGGTCCACACAGTCAAAGGCTTTTGCGTAGTCAATGAAGCAGAAGTAGATATTTTTCTGAAACTCTCTGGCTTTCTCCATAATCCAGCGCATGTTAGC